GAACTACATATCCAGGGCTATTGGACGTTTTCGATTATCTACAAAGTGATACTGTTTTGGAGGTTGTACCCAATTTAAACCTCATGTATTTTATTTAGAATCCTCTTGAACTTTTCTGCATGCTGCCACTGTTTTCAATGAGACATTGATTCAGATGTTCTTTCTTATTTGGATACTTTTCGCTCTCCTATATGTTTTTCGAAAACTGCATGGATTTAGAGATGAATGCTACAAAAAACTGACTCATCCTGTTTATATGTAGTCGTTATAGTAGATGCCGACGCGTTAATTGTCAAAACTAGGATTTCCATGTCTCCAGAGTATAGGATGCTAATGATAAGGATATACAAAAATACAAATTATTCATTTCCACTGACTGAAATATTACATATTTATTGTTTACCAAAGAACTACTGCAGGTATTAAAATGGGTTGTCTTTCGATAAACTTCAAATTTGTTGTCATGAAATGTTTGAAGCATTTATTTAGAGTAATAAATAATACGAGGTAAAGGTAAGTGATTGTACAGTTTGATGGCTGTGATTTGAGGACCATTCTTCACTTGGGTTAATGAGTGAGTGCGGTATGGTGGAACATAAATTGTATCTCAATGTTACAATAATATAGGGGTCGGCGAATACATAGATTTACTTATTCTTCTAAACGGATTAAGACCAGTTCATGATAACGTTCACCTGTAGAAACCAAAAAGGAAATCGAGAGAAGAATTATCGTATTTGGTACACACATTTAGCTATTCTAAAGTTGCAGAAAACTTTGTTTTCTGCATGCGATAACTGGTTATGATACAACAAGTGCACTTTTTAACCAGGAGGAAGCTAAATGTTGCAATATCTTCCGGAAACACCCGCAAATGATGATCTTCTGAAGCTGCACTGTATTAGAGACGCAGCCTTGTATATTTTCATAACATTCTGCCAAGTTCATGATATGGAGATGGAAAAACCCAGGTATATATATCAAACTAAGCAGGAAGTTCAGAAACCACAGAACAAATTTCTCTTTCTCAATATTTAATTTTTTTTGTACAAATAATTGTTATAGTGAGATGTCGAGAGGTATTTTCATTGCAAATGAATGCTCTTCATGCTCATGAAAATAAATCATGTTTGGATCTATATGAGGTAGATATTGCATAACAATGAGAGATCAACACGATGGTCACACTTGAATTTCGCGGGTAATGGAACTCATATATAACAGTGCGTTTTCGTATTTTATATCTAATTGCACCATTTCGAAGCGTTACAGCTCCCTTACTATGAGTCGTACAAAAAAATGTTTCAGCTGAAACTTGTAGGAAATTCAGTCTTCTATAAGATTGATGTCGAGTATTTTTGTGCTTGTACCCACCAGTGAGGAGATAATGCAAAAATTAACAATTCTAGTCGCCAACTTCCAAGATGGTGGTTCGCCCGGGCGGCCGCTGAGGTCGCAAATTTGGGGTTTTATAAGAACCCCATGCCCAGCTGATTCACAGGACAAGGGGGCGCACAATAGGCCCGACTGAAGAGGCCTAAGTGCAGGGGTCTACGCACCCGCCCACCTGTGCAGAGAAGAAGAAGAAGAAGAAGAAAGAGAAGGACCCCGAACTCTTACACATATCCAAAAATCAAAACTACCGGACCTTTTGCAGGGCAAAATCTCCTGGCTACTGGACTACTTCGCGAGACCAAGACCAAAACCAAGGCTCTCTCCCAAGAGTCTTCACTGAGAGAAACTGGATATTGAAAATATCTACCAGCTCTAATTGTAATAACCATTATAAAGAAATCTCCTATTCCTGATCATTTTATTATTACAACAGTATTCTCTCCATTCTGTAATTATAAAAATCGCTTTCTTAAACCATTTGTAATACCTTTGAATGGACATTTGCTACCATCATGCAGGTGTGTTATGACATTATGAGAATTTTATGAATTCCAGTCTATTTAAATTTTTTATTGGCATAGCTCGTTTTGTGAATTATGCTCATTGGTGAATTCTGATAATGTTTGTCCCAATAATCATAGCTTTTTGGGTTTCTAGCATTGTACGTTGACGAATAACTGTAGCAATTCACATGTATGACGGTTATTAGACAATAATTCGACATCGTAATTCGGCTCATTTCGCTCTAGTTTTTCATTAGTTTTTGGGCTGACCAAGCTACAGATCGCGTTCATTTTCACTTCTATTCTCGGTCATGGGTGCCCGTGTTCAATTATTGTTCAATGGTTTCGATCGTCCGAATCGATAGAGCCGTGTCTTGTGGGTGAATGTGTGTGATGAAGCAAGATTTTGTTTTAGTGCTGGCTGTGATCCAAACTGTGAAATACACCGTGCTTTGCATTACTGCAATGAAAAAAGTATTCTCCATACCCACTTTTCACGGCCTAAAATTGGTTTATTTCGAAAAACAAAATGATCGATGAGATTCTGAACCAAAATATCTGGATTTCTGTGAGGGAAGTTTTATTGACAATTATCATCATAACTCCAAGGAACTCTAAGGAAGAGTAAATATAGGTATTCAACTTCTCATTTCTTAATAAATTCGCCAGTATGCATATAGATGATATTTCTCTGAAAAAAATCAATGATTAATGTCAAAAAAACTTCCAGAGAAACATAGATATTTCAATTCAGAGACTATGTAAGCGTATTTTTCGTTTTTTGAAAACAATAACTTTGGATCATGAAAAGTAAGTGTGGATAGGATATTTCTTCTCATTGCAGTAATTCAAAGCACGGTTTCATAATGCATACCATCGAACAATGTTGATTAGATAACCTAATAAACACTGTTTGATGAATATACTAGAGTAGAAAAATATTGGGATAACTGTTGAAAATGAGCTATATACAGGGTGTCCGCTAAAAGGAGGTCAATCCATTAACCATATATTCCTTGAACAAAAATAATATGAGTTTCTAAATACCATTTTTCATTTTAGCCCTTCATTTTCGATATACAGGGTTTCAAAGTTGGAAATTAAAAACTGTTTTTTCTCTAATTACTCGCGTAATTAATAAGATATTAATCTCAAAATTGGTACATAACTTCAGCACAAAGAGTTACATCGTGTGAGGAAGACAAAACAGAAAATAACTGTCAAATATTCAAAATACTGGGGGTCAAGTACACACTTACTTCCATATTTTTTTTGTACGTGCGCTAATGACTTCTTATCTATTTTTCTTCAAGTGTTCAATCATTTTTGAGTATTTTTAGATTTTTGTAAAATTCCGATAAAATTATTTGTTTTTAAGATAATTCGAAAAGTACTGGTTATTGTTTCATGCCTGGCGGCTTACGGTAATCTCATAATGTTCACATACTCCTATTCATTTCGTCGAAATTGGAAGAGGGCGTATCTTTTTACGTACGAAAAGGTAAATATGGAAATACCGGGTGCTCAGAGCAAATGTACTAAAATAATTTTTACAGAAAAAAAAAATTGAAAAATTATTTTAATACATTCGCTCTGAGCACCCGGTATTTCCATATTTACCTTTTCGTACGTAAAAAGATACGCCCTCTTCCAATTTCGACGAAATAAATAGGAGTATGTGAACATTATGAGATTACCGTAAGCCGCATAGGCATCAAACAATAACCAGTACTTTTCGAATTATCTTAAAAACAAATGATTTAATCGAAATTTTACAAGAAACACAAATTACTCAAAAATGATTGAACACTTGAAGGAAAATAGATAGGAAGTCATTAGCGCACGTACAAAAAAAATATGGGAGTAAGTGTGTACTTGACCCCCAGTATTTTGAATATTTGACAGTTATTTTCTGTTATGTTTTACTCACACGATGTAACTCTTTGTGCTGAAGTAATGTACCAATTTTAAGATTGATATCTTTTCAAATACGCGAGTTATTAGAAAAAAACAGTTTTTAATTTCCAACTTTGACACCCTGTATATCGAATATGAAGGGCTAAAATGAAAAATGGTATTTAGAAACCCATATTGTTTTTGTTCAAGGAATATGTGGTTAATGGATTGACCTCCTTTTAGCGGACACCCTGTATATATTACAATAGCATGTCAAAATGTCAGGTTTCATTCAAATATCAGATAACTATTATAAAATGAGACGAATTACTGCGTTACCTCAAGATTGTTGTGCCAGTAATAAAAACATGCTGTTTTATGACGATAGTCGAATAACCACTGTAGAGTGGATAGTTACTGTATAACATTTTATGGGAATAATTTCTATTCGACACTCTGTGTTATCATAGAAACTAGAACAAGTGGTAGTTATTCAGCAGCTGTGTTTTTATACAAGTTTGCAAATTGAATAAGCTGTCATGACTACAAACCACCTGAAAATTCACTTCATCTATGGTAGCAAATGAACACATCTGTCCTCTATTTATTGCAGATATCGTAATAACGGTTATCAGATTTCCAATTATGATAACTCAAGTTTTCTCTCAGTGATGATTTTGAAAGGAAAATAATGAACCTAAATCTACTCAATATTAAAAAAAATGTGATGGAAAATGTGATGGCATTTTATTTCAGTTATTTATTTGTCATATGATAGGTTTTTAATTTTTGTTCACTCAGAATCCGAAATACATTTAAAAAAATCGGTATTGCAGTTCCAAAGTTGCGGTGAAACGGGGTTCTCAGGGGGTTTGAAGAAAAAAGACCGGTTCTGTTTGAGGTATCCACACCAGGTTTAATTCGTAGGTGCGATAGAAACAGCGAAATTCAAAAATAGTACCTGTCAACTTATTCGAGTTAGGCAACCAACCACTGGTACAATAAATATTAGTGTTAGAATTTCCGACCCCAGGAATATGGAAAGGAATGTTCAGAAACGTTCAGATTGTCTTGTTTGATGATGTCTCCTTATTTGGAACTATCAGACATTATGTCATCTGGCTACACTTATATTTCTCAAAATTTTTCTGCATACGTGAAAATTATTCGTTAATCTATCATGCATAATTGAAAAAAAATACTCACAGCTTCAAGAAATACATATCCAAAGATCCACAATATAGCACCACTAAATGAAAATAACATCGTCGTTATTATCTGAATTGTACTGGAAACCACAGATACATCATCATCCGGTGGCAAGATATCACTGCTAATATCAACGTATTAACCAAATATCATTTCCTAAGAGAATTGCTTATTCATTGTACAGGGTAAATCCGTATATTATATTATATTATACAACAGCTTCTACAAAATCCAAACTATTGAATATAAAAACAAATTGAAAGTTTTAACTTGTACATACTCATACAGAGTGTCGCAAATGCGAAGGGTATCGTTAGGGTGTCGGTAAACATAACAAATACAAAGTCGGTTCAATCAGAGCACAGTTGCGCAATTTCATGCTGATCAAAATGCCACCTCAAAAAATTTTAAATTCCGAATACTTCCGAGAATATTTAAAAAAACTAAATATTCGCGATTTAATATTTATTTTCTTTTGCCTCAATTTGATAAGGTATGAAAAAATGAGTTACATATCATCATGACCGCACTTTCTTCGCTTTACCAAACAATATTGATAGATTTGTGATCCAACGTTAATTCGTCTTCGAGGGGAAATGATCCACTTTCGTTTTTTAAATGATCGAAAAAATGTTTCTTGACCCTAAGAAAATTTAATTTCGATTTTAAATTCGACAATATATTGCACATCAGAATCATCCAACGTTTCGAGCATAAAAATCATCATCAGTGATATTTGATGATGGTTACGAGGAGACAAAACGTCTGATCAAAAACCGTTCAAAAAAACAAAGTTGACGATGGCTCCTCGGAGACGAAACGTCGGATCACAAATCTGATAATATCATTGGATAGAGCAGAAAGAGTGGCAACGACAAAATTGAACTTATTTTGTTGTTCCACTTCAAATAACGTCAGAAAAGAATGAAGACGAAATCGCGGATATACCGTTTTGTCAAATATATTCGGGAGAATTCAGGATTTCCAAACTTTCGAGGCAGCATTCTGTTCAGCATCAAATTTTGCACCTTTGCCCTAATTGAACCTACTTCGTATCTGTTAAGGTTACCGAGATCCCATTGGTTCCCCTCGAATCTGTACGAGTCGGGCGTTTCGCCATTCTGCTGGAGAATAGCTAGAATCCATCTTAGCACAAAAAAAAAGAAAGAAGAACCTGTCCAACAACTATAGGCCTATCGTTCTGTTATTTCCAAAGTGATGAAGAAAGCCGTCAACATTGGGCATATCAAAAATCTGAAAAACTGTGGAATCATCAATGATACACAACATGGCTTGTACCATCAACAGGAGATTCACTAACCTACGTTACCCATATATGGCAACCTTCATCAAAGTAAATAGTAGTTTAAAAAATTAAAGAAGCACCCTTTTATAGATAACCAAACTGAAGAGATGTAGAAATAAAATAATAAAAGTGTGTGTGTTGGTTGTTGTGATTGTTTAAACTACTATATTCATTTCAAATTTTTCAGTTGAGCTAACTACAAAAGCGTGTCTTTTAGTGTTCTCATATTCTGTGTACCTACTTAATTTTGACGAGGGAATATTTCATCATCTCGACAACCCCCAGATACTGATTTTTAATAGAATCGCATCATGATTACAAGACCCGTCTGCCATAGTGTATCCGCCATATTGAATTCTCCAATTTTGACTAAACATTCTAATCTCCGACCCCGAAAACCACTAGATGCCGATTTTGAAAAGAATCGGATCATATAATTATAAAACTCGTCCACCATATTGAATCCGCCATCTCGAATTTTTCAATTTCGACAAAGAATCATGATCTCTCACCCCAAAAACCCCCAAAAATGAATCATGAGGAGAGTCAGACCATAATTACATAAATTGTCCGCCATATTGGATCCGCCATCTTGTATTTTGAAATTTTGACAAAAGAATCATAATCTCCGATCCCGAAAACCGCCAGATAACAATTGTGAATATAGAATCGGTCCATAATTAAAAAAACTCTTCCGTCGTTATTGAATCTGCCAGTTTTCCATAAGATTCGAATAATAATTACAAAAATCGGTTGCCATATTGGATCCGCTATCTTGAATTCACCAATTCTGACGAAAGAATCATAATCTTTGACCTCGAAAACCCCCATATACCAGTTTTGAATATACAGTGTGTCCATTTAGTGCGTAATCCTTCGATATCTCGGAATCCATTATCACAAGAGAAAAAATGTTGCGAACAAATTTCTTATATACAGAATACCCACAATTGTCCATACTCCCCCGCGTTGAACGATTGTAGCGTTCAAAATAACAACGGCACATCTAATAACGTTAGCAGTAGCTTTAGTCACTGGTTTGCAGCGGCAGCGGACACACTTTCGATACTGCTCTCTTCAACTTCCCGTGTGGCGTTTTAATAGTCACCACTCTAACAACTCTAATAGCACACAACGTCCTAGGGACGTCCCAATTTGGTACAATTCAGGTCCGAATGTTCCGGACCAAAAATAAGTGTCCTTGGGACGTCTCATTCCGTACATCTCTTGCAATGTCCGAGTATGGACGTCCACGGAATGTCCCAGCTGGTACATCATTTCAAATGTCCTAGAAATAGCATTCCTTAGATGTCCCACGTGGTTTATATTATAGAATGTCCATGCGAGGACGTCCTTGGTATGTTCCTGATGGGATATGATTTCAAACGTTCCTTTAGGGACATCCATCGGATGTCCCGAGTAGTACATATCCTGGCTTGACTTCATATCTTATATAATGCGCCTTCTAGACAACCATGAAATGTCTCTGATAGTACATTCCTTCAAATATCTCTGCACAGACGCCCTTAATATTTCCAGGATCGTATGAAAATCTAAATGTCCCTTAGGGACATCCTCCGGATGTCCCAATTGGTACATGAACTGTACTTATCTAATGTCCTAGAAATAACGTCCTATGGACGTCCCAGTCGGTACTTTCAATATGTTGTCCCTGCGAGGACGTTAACTTACACCTCGCCGACGGATGATTGCTCGCAGGCTATAAATACTCCCCATCAATGTCCTTCACGTAAGTCTATTGGACATCCTTGGGAAACTTTTTCAGGATCTATTGGGGACCTTCTACGGACCATCAACTCATTTGGATGTCCTCATCAGTGATGCAAGATCTGGTCCTAGAGGGACTCAGAAAAATTCAAATTCAAGAATAATTCGTACGTCCCTGGGACATCCTATGGACATCCAATTGATATCCCTCAGCGTTGCTGAAAGGTTGTCCTCGATAGTTGTCCCAGAGACGTCCCTCAAGGACGTCCCTAATTGGTCCTCAAGTGGGACATTTGTGCGTCCCACAGACGTCCAATGGACGTCCACGGTACCAAATTCGAACGTCCTATGGACGTCCTGAATGTCCCGACAGGACGTCCTAAGGATATCCATGGGACATAATTGTTTCATTAGGGAATTTTGTCCCCTCCGGGACAGTGTGTCCATTTAGTGCGTAATTCTTCGATATCTCGAAATCCATTATCACAAGAGAAAAAATTTTGCAAACAAATTTCTTCCGATATTTAAGGTTTCCATTTCAAAAATATTCTCAACAATACTGGGTGTTCCATAGAAGCGAGACGATTCAGACACGAGTTTTTTAAATAGAACACCCAGTATTTTTCATTCAAAATTCATTCCGCTGAAGTTTAGCTCTACAACGCTGTGATGAAAATTGAATTTGGTTGCGGCGTTGTCAAATTATAATTGATAAACCCATTTTTAATACTATTGAAGGGTCATGTTGAATTGAGTATGGTGTATTCATTCATTAAGATTTCGAAAATATTTTTGGCATACAGTAGTAGCAAGATCTCACGAACATCAATCCAGTAATTTTGCGAGATAATCCTTTACAGGGTGCTAAAATTCAAATTCTGAATATTGTAAGATTCAGACGACGTTCATTAGAATTTTTCAAATGTAACACCCTGTATTCTCAATCACAAATTCATTTCCACATCATTCGACTTCCCATGGCGGAAAAAAAATCAAAATCGATTGCGGCGTTTTCAATGTTTTGAGTTTATGTTTATCACTATCTCAGGGCTACGTATAAGGCATGGTTCCTTCATTTGATTTGAGTGTGGAAATATTGCTTGCCACATGACATTCGAGGTTTTTCATAGATCATTCAGGTATATTTGCGATATGTGCATTATCCAAATTTGAAATATTCCGTAATTTTGTTACTTATGATTTAAATAATATGTATGTACCTATGTGAAACAAACAAACATGCCAAAAGCAACGCCTGTCTTTGAAACAATTCCTACAATACAAACAATGGAGATTTGGATTGCGAGAATAAGGACAATTTTTTTAAATTTGGAACACTTTCATTGTCGTTATTCCCACAATCCAAATCTCCATTCAACTTGAAGGAGGTTGGCTAGCTTTGCTCAATCTTCTTCGATATGGTGAACAGTATTACTTGGGATATTAAATGAATAATGAATGCTGAGATAAATGCTTAAATGTGTTCTTGTTATCAGAATGGGAATGCAATTAGGTGTCAATAATTTTTATATGTGAAAAAAATGTCTTATACATAACAACGTATATAGCAACGAACAAAATTTACGATATACAGCTACTTTTCAAATATGGTTCGCGGCCGCGCGAATGGTATTCAATATACAGAATACCCACAATTGTCCATACTCCCCCGCGTTGAACGATTGTAGCGTTCAAAATAACAACGGCACATCTAATAACGTTATTAGTAGCTTTAGTCACTGGTTTTCAGCGGCAGCGGACACACTTTCGATCTTAGATCATACAGGAATTCGATACTGCACTCTTCAACGTACCGTGTGGCGTTTTGATAGTCACTACTTCAACAATGTTGTCCCCTCCGGGATGTACTTGTATAATCCGACCTAGTAACCATTTGCAGAGTGGTGAGTTGTCCTGTTTAATAAGGACCAGAGTCCCTACAGTCAGCTGATTGTCACTTTGCTTCCATCTATACCTTTTTTGCAGGTTAGAAAGATAGAATTTCGACCATTGTTTCCAAAAACTTCGTTTAACTTGTTGCAATAAATTATTGGAATCTGGATAGTGGTCCAATTTCATATCTTCCTCAAACATTGGATCAGGTGCAATCATGAGCGGCTTGCCAATCAGGAAGTGTGAGGGAGTGAGGGGATTCATATCA